CTTTGATTTTATTATATGACAACCAGCAAGAGTGGCCGAGTGGTCCAAGGCGGCAGTTTAAGGTACTGTTCTCTTCGGAGGCGTGGGTTCGAACCCCACCTCTTGCATTTTACTATATTCTATCTTTATGTACCCTTTTATATCTATATATATGTCACTTATCACTTTATAACTTATGTTATATATTAAACTTTATCATTTCTACTTTTCTACTTTTCTACTTTATTCCTTTATATCTATATCTATATATATATTTATATATCTATATAACTTTATACCTTTATTATTTTATTATACCTTATCTTTTATTTATATTTATTCTTCCTTATATATATATATATTCCTTCTTTTATATATATTACACCTTTTATATATATTACACCTTTTATATATATATATTCCAACTTTTTATATTTATTTATTTCAACTTTTTATATATATATTACACCTTTTTTTTATATTATATATACCTCCATCCTTGGAAGGCCTCTTAGCATAGATGGCAGTGCGTTCCCCTAGTAAGGGAAAGGTCGTGGGTTCGATTCCCGCAGAGGCCTTACACTTTTTATGCCTCCTATAATCTATATGTTTACTTATATCTTATATCTTATATCTTATATCTTACATCTTACATCTTACATCTTAGTTCTTATCTTTATATCTATATATACATCTAGATACTTTTCTATTCTTATTTCTAGATCCTTTTCTATCTATATATTCATATATGTGTAAATGTTTAGATATCTATAACCTTTTATGTTCTATTATTCTTACTCTATCTTTATCCTATATAGACTTTCTATTTTATCTTTATATTATTCCTATAGTGTTACCCTATTCTATTCTTATATTCTTATAGAGTTATACCTTTATATGACTATATGACTATAGTGTTATAGTGTTATACCTTTATACCTTTATACTATTCTATTCCTCTTATACCTTTATACCTATATAGAGTTATACCTTTATACCTTTATACCTTTATACCTTTATAGTGTTTTTATTCTTTGATTTTATTATATGACAACCAGCAAGAGTGGCCGAGTGGTCCAAGGCGGCAGTTTAAGGTACTGTTCTCTTCGGAGGCGTGGGTTCGAACCCCACCTCTTGCATTTTACTATATTCTATCTTTATGTACCCTTTTATATCTATATATATGTCACTTATCACTTTATAACTTATGTTATATATTAAACTTTATCATTTCTACTTTTCTACTTTTCTACTTTATTCCTTTATATCTATATCTATATATATATTTATATATCTATATAACTTTATACCTTTATTATTTTATTATACCTTATCTTTTATTTATATTTATTCTTCCTTATATATATATATATTCCTTCTTTTATATATATTACACCTTTTATATATATTACACCTTTTATATATATATATCCCAACTTTTTATATTTATTTATTTCAACTTTTTATATATATATTACACCTTTTTTTTATATTATATATACCTCCATCCTTGGAAGGCCTCTTAGCATAGATGGCAGTGCGTTCCCCTAGTAAGGGAAAGGTCGTGGGTTCGATTCCCGCAGAGGCCTTACACTTTTTATGCCTCCTATAATCTATATGTTTACTTATATCTTATATCTTATATCTTATATCTTACATCTTACATCTTACATCTTAGTTCTTATCTTTATATCTATATATACATCTAGATACTTTTCTATTCTTATTTCTAGATCCTTTTCTATCTATATATTCATATATGTGTAAATGTTTAGATATCTATAACCTTTTATGTTCTATTATTCTTACTCTATCTTTATCCTATATAGACTTTCTATTTTATCTTTATATTATTCCTATAGTGTTACCCTATTCTATTCTTATATTCTTATAGAGTTATACCTTTATATGACTATATGACTATAGTGTTATAGTGTTATACCTTTATACCTTTATACTATTCTATTCCTCTTATACCTTTATACCTATATAGAGTTATACCTTTATACCTTTATACCTTTATACCTTTATAGTGTTTTTATTCTTTGATTTTATTATATGACAACCAGCAAGAGTGGCCGAGTGGTCCAAGGCGGCAGTTTAAGGTACTGTTCTCTTCGGAGGCGTGGGTTCGAACCCCACCTCTTGCATTTTACTATATTCTATCTTTATGTACCCTTTTATATCTATATATATGTCACTTATCACGAAATAACTTATGTTATATATTAAACT